TTTTATCAGTATAAATTTTTGTCTGTTTTATTCACTGCTGTCTCCCCAGCTGGTAGAACAGTTCCTGGCACATATATGGCACTTAATAAGTATCATATTAGTGTGTGAAATAAAATTCATATTTATGACAGGAAAAAAAATTTTTTTTTTTGGGCTGTGTTGGGTCTTCGTTGCTGTGCGCGGGCTTTCTCTGGCTGCGGTGAGCGGGGGCTACTCTGCATTGCGGTGCGCGGGCTTCTCATTGCGGTGGCTTCTCTTGTCGCAGAGCACAGGCTCTAGGCATGTGGGCTTCAGTAGCTGCAGCACGTGGGCTCAGTAGTTGTGGCATGCGGGCCCTAGAGCATGCGGGCTTCAGTAGTTGTGGCCTCTGGGCTCAGTAGTTGTGGCTCATGGGCTTAGTTGCTCCACGACATGTGGGATCTTCCTGGACCAGGGATAGAACCCGGGTGCCCTGCATTGGTAGGTGGATTCTAGCTACTGTGCCACCAGGGAAGCCCAAGAAAAATGTGAACATAAAAATTCTTCTCTGCCCTTCGGCCTCCCCTCTCCCCACCGCACTATGCATCTGCATTATGCATTGACCAAACCTCCCCCCCCTCAGCAGAAATACCTACTCAACCATAAACAGCAACATTCTCCTAGCATAAGTAAGACAACTCTTTAAAAAATTACATTCCTTCTTGATCTTATTAAGGGTCACACGACCCACTGTGATGGTGCTCAAAACTGGAAGTATGTAAACTGTCAATAATACATCCTTTAATGTACAGCCCTCTGTCTCAAAAAACTTATATAAACTGTGTCTTGACTTCTAAAGGGTGGAACAGTTCTCAGAACTTTCTGAGATGCTCCTCCCAGGTTATTATCCTCAAATTTGGCTCGAATAATATTTTCCAGGGACTTCCCTGGTGGCACAGTGGGTAAGAGTCCATGCTCCCAATGCAGGGGGCCCGGGTTCGATACGTGGTCAGGGAGCTAGATCCCTCCTGCATGCCACAACTAAGAGTTCACATGCCACAACTAAGGAGCCTGTCTGCCGCAACTAAGACCTGGCACAGCCTAAATTAATAAATATTTTTTAAGAATAAAATAAAAATTTCCAATTCTCTCTTAGATCAACTGATCAGTTTTTTGTCAACAGTGAATAACTGGATCTCATGTTACTGTCAACAAAAAATTAATCAGTGGTCAATGTGAGACCTGGAAAATGTTACTCAAGCCAACCTGAGGGTTATAACCCAGGAGACAGTCTTTCAGGAAGTTCTGAGGACTGTTCTGCTTGTTAGAGGTCAAGGCACAGTTATGTAAGTTTTTGAGACAAAGGCTTATACATCAAAGTAACATATTGACAGTTTACACAGTTCAACAAGGAGGGTAGTGGGTCACTGTGATTGCTTACAGGATTGAGAAAGGAATGTTATCTCCTAGGAGTTACTTTGCTGGTGCCAGGAGGAAATCGTTTTTTTCTTTTCTCTTTGTCAAGTAGGCATTTCTGTATCTTCTTAGGGGATCTAGTTGATGTATAATGCAGATGCCCAATGCACAATGAAAGGGAGGGGGTAGTGGCTCAAATGGGCAGAGAGAGAATTTTGCTTTCCTTTTTTAATTTTGAGAATTTTATGTCTAAATATTTTCTTGTCCTGCCTTAAAAACAATTTTATTTCATCATTATCCTCATGCAATCCTAAGAGCATGCTGTTTCATTCATTCCACTATTACTCTGCCAGGCCCCATGCTGTGGGGCAGCCAGCAGTGACCATGATACAGATACAAAGCCCCTTCTCTCATGGGCTTCACAGGGCTTTGAAGTAGGCCGAAAATAAGCCAACAAATACACACAATAATAATGGTAAAAAGTAATAAACAGAACCAAAATTAAAAGAGTCGGGAGGTCAGAAGGGGGCGCACTCACACCCTAACACATAACTGAACCCAAGAGAAAGACTCCTCTTCCTCCCTAGCAAGAGCTCAGCCAATGAGACTGTCAGGACTTAGCCAATAAAAAGCCACTAAACTTCAAACTCCCAATCCCTCCAATGGACTCTGTTTACTACATCCTCCCAATTTCCTTTTCCCCTCCTTAAAAGAGCTCTCCTCTCCTTGCTACGCTGGGACTTGCACCTGGCTTGCTACGGTTGCAGACCTGTTAACTGTATTTCTTTACTGATCTCGAATAAACCCACTTTTGCTGGAGAAATAACTAGCAGCCTATTTCTTTTAGGTCAACATAACAAACTCTAATAAGGCTAGAAAGAAAATACAAAGTGCTCCATACCAGGTGCTTTGCATATGTCAGCTATGTTTCTACTCACAAGGAAATCCTGAAACATCTGTTGCAAGGAAACTGAAACACAGAGAGAAGTACTCAGTCCGAGATCTCAGGTTCAAACCCAGATCTGCTTCACTCCAAACCCTAGGGTCACTTGGGTCCCCCTTACCTTTGATTCCTGGAGGAAGTTAGTTACACTCTTGAGCCACAGGCCAAAAGGCAACTAGAAGTTTGGAGGCATGAGTGTCAGACGTTTGAAACCCTTCCCTGGAGGAAGCATATTACCTGGACTTTGGGATAAGACTCAGGGGGAGGGCATGGGACAGGTTAAGATTTCACTCTCCCAGGAACGGAAAACCTGAGAATTTAGTCTACATTTGAAGCCAAAGAGAAGAGATGCTGACGCTCTT